ACACCCTCCCTGAAATGAGTCTCCTCTCTCCTCAGATTTCTCTCCAGCTGGTTTAAAGTATGACAGGGATGGGTGTCAGGCCCCTGGTCTGAACAGAAGGGGCCTGACTGGAACAGACTGGGATTGGTCTGAGCCCCAGTCTCCTGACTCTCATCATTTTGAAGGCAGACACCACGGCTAACAGGAGTTTCATCCTCATCACCCTCAGCAATCACACACTCTTCATATGACTCTACATGGGCAGCGCTCATCAGTCTGGCTTGCTTTGGGGAACAGAGCTCTGTTTGTAGACTGATTTCTTCCATTGTCTTCTTCTGACAATCCCTAAAGCACAAACAGATTGACAGATTGATCAAAGCACAAGGAAACATCTCTTCATTTGGAAGCTTTACTTTAACCTCTCAAAACCCAAAACCGCCAACCCGTTTTAAAGCGCTTACATTAATAACTTAATAACTCAGAATGCATGTAAATTACACTGGTAAAATGTTTACCAATATAGACATGTTAGACATCATTGGAAAGCTAAGATTCTCCACAATTCAACCACCAAGTTCATTTTATTGACACAGCGAGCAAGAAAGCACAATTATAGCAGCATTTTAAAATGTAGCATGATAAAGCAGCTACAACAAGCAAGCATGTCTTTATTACTGCTGTTCAAAAAAAGGCTATTTTCGAGAATAAAAAAACAACAATGTTGAGTCAAGTTTGAACTGATGCAGCTCGGTTGTTTCATGTATATATTCAGAAACTAGAAGGTGTTGGCTTTAAATAACGTATCATACATGTAATTAGGGCTTACTTTTCCTCAGTTATTTGCTTTTCCATTTGGGTAAGCAAAATAGGCAAATTTCCCAGAAATGAGGTGGATATTAAGAGGTTTAAGCTATTTATTTACATTTGTAAACCCATCTTCATTAGATTTCTAACAACAGACTATGAGCTTATATATCTAGAACATGATAAAGTGTAAGAAGTTATTCTGAGGTTTTCCTCCTAAGCTTACTCTGGAATTTGATCAGTGCAGCACCAAATCATCAGTGCAGACTGGAAATATAAACAATAGATGCTATTAAAAACAAGGTAAATGGAACACTAAAGATGGGTAAAACAGATGATATTTGTTGTCCACAAGTTGCTTTGGGGGTGTGCCTGAAAAAAAAAAAGGATTTTCTGTTCTACCCTAACAAACATGAATGTTTTCAGATTGCTAAAATTTAAACAGAGCTAAGTGCTTTGGTTAGTGGGCCGCTTTAGTGTTGAACAGAAGGAAGGTGTGGAAAGGAACATTCTACCCAATGTTATGCACAGCAGAGGATCTATGATGCTGTGGGCTTGTTTCTTCTCTGCTAGCGGCCCTGAGAGGGTTTTTTAAGCTAGAGGCTTGTGTTGCTTTCTAAAAACACCTTTTATTTCAATAATCCTCACTGGGTGACCTAAAGGGTTAGGAAATTCAACCTGCGAAATTTGCTTGTTAAACAATCAGGTTTCACAAATAAAAGATGAATATATAAAAAAAAACTGTTTGCAACTATTGATGTCACACAGTGAGCTAGTTTATCAGTGATGAGGAGACATCTAAGAACAAAAAGTGATGAACTGATGTCACTTTGAGCTGAGAAAGCCCAGGAAGTGCTTTGGTGGAATAAAAAATAAACAGTTTTTGTTATTATGAAATCTTTCCTAAAAAGTACTCAGATTAATCAATAGAATTAATTAATCAGCAGCCCTAATAGATATTTATAAGCTCCACAATTTACATTAAGTCTTTTTTCACTCTCAGAGGAAGAGCAAACTGAGGCTGTCTTTTCCAGCAGGCCTGTATTGGGCTTTCTCACTGCTTGTTGTTGACATGCCTGGGCAGATCTGTTTTTATTGTGTCTGAGAACAGTTGTGCGATTGGTCAGGATTTGGATTGGCAACGTTACGTTTTCTAAGGGTCACACATACTGAAAGTTATTTCATGTAAAGGAATCTGTGTAACTATTCATTACGTAATGGATAAGTTGAGGTTCGGCTGCTAGAGGTTGTGAAAAAATATTAACATTAGTGTGACACCTCCTCAAGTAATATATAAAGCATTTCCGTCTCCTTTTCGTCATCATTCAACATCAATGCCTTCTCTGCCTTCACGTTCCTGTTGTGTTTTCTTTCACATGTGTACAATAAGTTACAGAAGTTCCATATGTTTCTGTGAGTTCAGTAGCTGAGCTTCGGGGAAGTGTGAATATTTGGTAGCAAAAAAAAAAAAATACATTTTTCTTCTTCTTGCCAAGGCTAAAACAAATTTGAGTTCCTTGGTGGGTATGCAACAAGCTTAAGACCTAAAGCCAGTGTTGCCAGATTTGGCAGTTTTCATTTTGAGGGTAAAATTGCTTTGGGTGGGTGGAGATAACTTGGGCTGGTTCTTAGTTAGATAGACGGTTTTTGAGTTAACACGTCCACCAATCGTTCATCATTACTGGTTCATAGCAAAGCCTCCCTGACCTTTCTCCATCACTGATTAGCTAATGTCATCTGCCAGGGTGTTTACAACACAGAACTAGTGTAGTGGTGCCACAGATTATGCTAGTTTTAGCTGCAGGTGGATCTGGTGTGATAAACCTAGTGCTGACGATCGATGCGTTTTGGTTGGAAGAGGAAACTTTTAAAGGAGCTGGAGGAAACCGCTGCTTTTTGGGATTTAGCGCTTGGTGCAATTAAACTCCTCACCCTCCCTATATCAAAGGCTTCAGTTGAAAGAGGTTTTTCATAAGTTGCTCTGCTTAAGGAAGAGTCGGGAAATCGCATAGGTCTGCCGATCCTGAAGTTTGATGGATGTGCGAACTGGACTAACACAGAATGGATGGACATCAGCAATATACCATCCTCCCTGAAAGTTACTGGGGAGATTTCATTCAACCATGTACTGATCACAATCCCAATGGATTGTATTATAATTAATCAGAGTAAAGTTCAGCGTTCTGATGTTCAAAGTTCCAGCCAACAATCTAATCAGCATTGAAGGTAAGAATTCAAAATCAACAATAATAAATGTGATTATTTCAGTTAAGTAAAAATAAGCGTAGCATATTTGTGTGTGCGCACTGATCATAGTTTGTTTTATAAATGTAAAAAGAGGAGCAGTCTATGTGGTTAGGAATCCATCTGCAAACATGTTAGTACCGGTGTAGGTACCAGATCTGCTCAGGTCCTGGGCATCCAAGTGACGTTACGCTACATGATTGGCTGAACGTTGCCACATAATGTAAAACATTATGGTTGCCCAGACAACGATAATAATATTGCGCAGCATCAGTGTGCCGAGTCGGGAGCTTCTGTAGCGTTAGCATGTCTAATGATCGATGAAGTTTTACCTGGTCGATAACAAACTGAAAAAAAATATATGCTTATGGTGAACAAAATAACTGCAAGACTGTGATATAAAGGGAGAGAGCAGGGTAGCGCTGTGGCTAACTGTGCTCAGTAGCTAACAGGTTAGACTGGTCAGTTAGCCATATTAAGCTACACTACTTTTAACTTTGTGTCAACAACAACTGTTCGTTTTCTACAAGTGAAATAACTGTTTGATTTGTCTAAAATCTCTACGAAAGTCATTTTTGAGATTTTCCATTTGTCCTTCCTGTCCTCAGATCTCAATAAAAAGAAAAAAAATAAGCAATTTGTTGTTTTTACCCCGCATCTTGTTAAATGGCAGAGCTGAATCTTAGAACGCAGTTCTTTCTTTCAAGACTTAGAATGATTGTTTTCTACTTTTGGCTGCTTTAGGTCACCAATGAAAGGTAAAATAATAGCAAATGTAGGTAATAATATGTTGAGACTCTAAAAGAGATTTGATTCTTAACATGATGAGTCCCATTTCCCTCACTGGATCTGACCTGATGGCTGTGATGGCTGGGTCAGAGTGTCTTATGGACAACAACTCTGGGCAAATTTTGTTGGATTGTAGCGTTTTGTTTGGACATGCAGTGTTGAATAAAGTTGTACTGAAGTGTGTTCATGTTCAAACAGTAAATATAACAATATATTACTTGGGTTGTTGTGTGATGTGGCTGATTTTAACAGATATTTTGGCTGGAAAACTTCAACTTTATCTGGCAACACTGCTCAGATCCTGTGACAGCCCGGTATGGTCAGCTGAACAGGAACAGCCAAAGCTAATTCTCCCTCTACACACAGAGTAGTAAATAGTTATATACGCATGAGATATTTTTTCAAAGTACTTTTTTGAGTGGTTTTATCTCTATACACTATCTATTATATTTCGATAAACAGTGAATAGAGATCAAGCTTAATTTAACCTAAAACTGAACAACACATATCAACGAATTCAATGTTAAAAGTGAGCCATCCTCCAGCTTTTCTTTTACAAAAACAATAAATAAAACATAATTCAAAATATTGAACAGTGATATTAGTTTGTATTTAATGTTAAAAATGAATACATCCAAAATATTCGGCTGTTTAACAGTTTTACACCTACCTGATAAATTAGTAGATTTATCTTAATGCTAATGCACAGATAGCTTCCTGGCTAACGCTTCCTTCCGGGTTTGCCGTCAGTGGCGGGAAACCTGCGGCTTTTAAAGAGACAAGCACAACGTAATAATAATTATTATACTAATTATCATTAGTATAATAATAATAATTATTATTATTATTGCTTTTATTATTGTTATTATTATTATTATGAATAATAATGATAATAATAATAATAATAATATTTTTTATTATTACTTTTAGTACTATTATTATTATTGCTGTTGTTATTTTATTATTATTATTATGGTTATTATTATTAAACTAATTATTTACTTTACCTGCCCTATAGAAGCTGCTTATAAAGAAGGTTTAAAAAATAAAAAGCAGTATTAAACAGGCCTAGTTTATTGTTAGTTGTTGTCCAGTGTTGTTGACAGGCTGTCCACGCTGCGTGGAGCCTCTCAGGCTGTTAAACACGCACACACCAACACGCTCTCCGTCTGTCTCCTCCTCTCCGTGCAGCAGCAGCAGCAGCAGCAGCACTTCGTGTTCAGCAGCATCTTTCTGCAGATCTGCGCTCTTTACTTTCTGACTCTCCTCCTCCAAACAAAAGCACTCAGAGCATCGGAAACAGATCAGAGCTCTAAGCTTCTCGTTTCGCCGTGAGATCATTTCATACATCAGAGGTGTTTGTTTTGTTTCTTTTTTTTTTATTTCTCCGTCGTCGGAGGGTTTATTTTGAAACCACTCCAGACCTCAAACAACCGGACTTCTCTCTCTGACTCCACACCTCAACAAGGTAAGAAGCTCTGTGATTCTAAGTGGATTTTCATTTATTTCCCTCCTCACATTATTCTCCTACAGCTCCATGCATGCTCTCGTGATGCATCGCGCTGCGTCATCCTGTCTCTTTCTAATTTCCTGAGTGATCCATTGATTTATTGGACGCATATTAACGAGGCGTAAAATGCAAATAACCACGCATTTATCAATCAGAACGCCATGGTACACCTGTGGGATCTTTTCATGCACACACACCAGATAAGCATGGCATCCTGTTTGCTCTACTCTTGCAGCCCACGCACACATGCATCTTTGAATCAGCATCCAAAGTGAGCAGGTAAAGCGCACAGAGGTGCCTGCTGCTTCATACAGCCCCCCAGGAAGCTGGAGAGCTTTGGACTCTCTTAGTTGCGTGGGGTGGCGCTGAATGGGGTGGGATATATGCTTGTGAAGCTTGTTTGACACTGATGTTGCAATAGTGTGTGTGTGTGTGTCCAGAGAAGGAGAGAGAGATGGGGGCATATAAGGAGGACCCTCCCTCAATAGGAAGCTCAATTCATCTCGATAAGGCCTGCAGAATTATACATCAACTTATCCAGTTTTTCTGAACTAAGACCTCAGACTGCTTTCCTTGACATTCGCTGTTGTCACCAGCCCCCCTATGCCCTCTTTCAAGGTCAGCCCCTGTTGGTAAATGATGTAAAAGGGGGTGCTATTATGCAATATCCTACTGCCCAGGTCAGGGGCAGCCCCTCTTATTACGCTGCATACATGTCAGTGTCAGTCTTTCACCTGTGGCCTGATGCTTTCCCTCCAACAAGGTTTCAAAAGCACCATAAGACTAGTTCTCTGTTAACCCAGGTTTATTCTCAGCATGGTTCGATATGATCTGCAGCTGCAAGGTGCTGCAAAGTAACCCAGTATGCCTTGTCCCCCGATCCTATAGAGCGAGCCCGGTGGCATTCCCATCTGATTCACCATGCTGTCTCTGTTATTTGTTGTTTCCCTCGTCTCTTTTCTTGCGAGCATCACTACGCACAGATTGGGAAAACAAGCATGCAGGCCAGGGTGTGTTCTCTGTTATTCAACAGGAGCGTCATTGCCTCTCTGCATTCATCCCAGATCGCACCCTCTCCCCCCCCTCCCTGATTACTTTTGCATCACTCTTTATTCCGCTGCGCACACCCGTGGTGTGAACGCATCAGAGGACGTTGGGGAATGTGAAAAGGAATTTAGTCATCGGCGCATTTTGCATGCAGAGTGCAAGAGGCTTCAGTCACATAACATTTAAAGGCCGTTTTGCCTTCCCAGTGCTGGTTGATTGCATCACACGGGTGGCGCTGGACGGTAACAAGGCAGATGGGCGAGTGACAGGGGTCGCAGGATGCTTAGAAGAATGGCAATGAGCCGAGGAGCCGAATGGGAATGACAAGCAGCCGTACTGAAGATTAACACCATGGATTTACTTGATATAATATGCATTGTTACAGACTAGCAAAATGTAGTGCATAAATGTCCCCACAGGTTTTCAAATGGATTTATGTCTGGACTTTGAATGAGCAACTTTAAAACATAAACGTGCTTGAATCTAAGCCATCCACTCTAGCTCTACCTTTGGGTTGTCGTCCTGTTGGCTGGTGAACCTCTGCCCCACTTGCATGTGTCTTACAGAACAAGATGGCTGTTCTATCAGATCGCCATGCATTTAACCCCAACCACCTTCCCTTAATCTGCCCAGCTCCCCAGCCTCAGTGAAGCAACACATCCCCACAGCATTATTCCACCTCTACGATGTTTCACCATGAGGATCGCGGTTCTCCATCATGCCTGTTCTATACAGTCTAAAAGATGTAGGTCTGATGATAAGTGGCTGTACATCAGGGGTCCCCAAACATTTCAGCCTGTGACCCCAAAAATAACTTTGCAACAGATTGGCAACCCCATAAAACGGGGTTTATACATGTATAGTCAAGTAATTGTATTCATTTTCCAATTAATGCATTTTAATTTAAAGTGTATTTTGAATTACTAAATGGGACCTTAAAATATTTAATTGTGGACTTAATATTTTGATTTATGAATATCAATAAAAGAAAATAAATGTTTGAATCACATATTAGATAAGTAAATAAAATTCATGTCTACTTATTTTGTGAACATCTGCATTTATATATTCATTATATATATTGGGAACCCCTGCTCTCTGCTGCTTCTCATACCTTTGAGCCACCATCATTTTTTCCTTATAATCTATTAGTGGACAACAGGGCTGTAGTGATATTAAAATTTCAAACTTGATCTTGATACCCAGGAAAATATCAATTTCTTGATGCCATTTTTTATACCATGTGATTAAAAATGGCAAATAGTTCAAGGCATGAAAAACATAAACATAAAAAACTCACCTGTTTCAATCTCAACATGGAACATGCTTTCTCAAGCTAGCCTCCTACATCTATGGCCAGGAACTTTTTTGTATTTAAAAAAATTTGTTGCTTGTTTCTTACGTTACATAACATTTTTTCGTATTATCACCTATTTTAGTATTGGAGAAGTACCCCCCCATCCCATTCCTTCTAAATGGCGCAACTCCTTTAAGGTTTATTAAGCTGCTATACATAAGGCTCGCTGCGTTGCACGCAGAGACAGGAAAATACAGAACCTAAGGTTTCCCATCCTTTCTGCGTCAGGCAGCGGCTCCATCACCTTAACACAGAAACGGTACTGCAGCTTTCATCGCTTGCACCAGCAGATAGTCTGTGCCGGCAGTCAACGCTTCTATCAAGGTTTTGTTGTCTATCTTTGCTAGATGAAGTTATAACCCTGATTAAGAACAATTAAGAGGTTGACTAATGGGACTACCAGGCCTGTCCCCAGCTGGATCAGGCAAGTACTGCTATGGTGGAAGTGAATAAATAGACAATGCTGCCGTCCGGCCTCAACTACTTCAGAAAAAATTCTGATCGCAACATTTCATGCTCAAATCTTAACGTCACACAAGATGAAGTCTATAAATGCGATCGATTGCGAATGGAGCAGGTATGGAAAGCCAAAACTACCACAAGTTTACAAAATTAAAAAGTAGCAAGATTTCTATCAAAATGTAAAAATGTCAGTGTTATTTGCGATGCATACATTAAATAAATACATATTTTCGTAGCCTAAATACATAAAGAATTAATTATTCTCCTTATTTAATTAACTATTGAATACATAATTTTCTTACTTTCACAACAAGGTTAGATAAAAAGGACCTAATTTATAAAGAAAGACCAATTGAGACTCACCGAAGTTTCCATGGTCTGCTTGGCTGCACATGTTAGTATAGGGCCCTGTCACACCTTGACGATTTAGCCAGCGTATGTCTGACGGCCCAGAATCTTCTAAAACACTGGCATACGCTGAACTTTCTATATATTTTTTTACGTTTTGGGTGTATACATAAAGTATTCATAATGAGTCCAGTACTTATGTCCAAAGACAGCCTAACTTATGCATAACGCGTGGCAGCTTAATGCCAATTAAATGTGTCCGGAGGGGGGCATCTGCATAGAAAGATGTCTTTGATAGCTGTATTAACCTAGCTGCTGTTTACCGCCAAAAAAAAAAGAATAAATAAAAATAAAAAGAAAGAAAGAAGGTTTGCATTTGCAGCAAATTCATAAGTAAAGTTTTTGATAAGTTACGTATAAGTTATGCACAAGTTACTCATAGGTTTTGGATAAGCTAGATGCCAAGATTTATAAGTAACTTACACTTAGGGTATGTCGACTTACTTGCTCTATGTCGACGTATGCCAGCGTGCTTCAGCGTGCTCAAAACGTAGCCATACTGTAACTTATCCAACTTATGTCAGCATTTTTACCATATTTTTCATACCTCAGGCATAGGCCGGCTAAATCGTCAAGGTGTAACAGGGGCATTAGGGGGAAAGCTGCTTAGAGGGTGGTTTTTAGTGTTGTTTTCCTTCTATTGGCGCCAACTTAAACATAGATGCATTCCCTGATCTATCATAGCATGATGCATGCTGCAGCCCCGCCTGCTGCATGCATCATGAAGTGCTTGCATTTCCTTTCCATTGTTAATGTTTCGTTCATTTTGTTAATGAATGTGTTTTTTATGTTTAATTGGAGATTTCTGTAACATTTGTTAGCGTTGAAACAGCTATATCTGTTTTAAAGACGGCCCGCCAAAAATTGGCGGCACTTATCAGGGATCTGTAGACTGATGTCAAAAGCATGATCTTGTTTGTTCTCCAATGTTATCAAGAAACCTCTGAGGCTTTCAAAGAACAGCTTGGTTTATACTGAGAGAAAATGATACTCAGATGGGCTTTGTTAATTAACTGCTGACTTCTTAAGGCAGTGTCATTGCATTAGATTTAGGGTTGTTGCTGTTTAGGGAGGACTGATCCAATCATTCCAATCCTTTCAGATCCCTATTTCTAAAGATATAATTTTTTTTCTGCACTCCAAAATGATGCTTGTTAATCTAACATAATCCTAATAAATACATTCCTGTCTATAAATATTGTTAAGGAAATATTGAAGAATTATTTTCTTACAAGGGAAAATAGTTGCTTTTAGTAGCCTTAGCAGCATTAACTCTGTGATGCTGGTCCATCGGCTACACATTGACGCAGCGCAGATGAAAAGTCATCTCTGCTGCTTGTTTGTTGAGCGAGAGGCAAGTGACCGAGTGTTGCGTACCACTCGCATTATGATGCAGCGTGAGCTCTTTGTGAGGACATTGTGAACGGCATGCCACATGGCACCACATCAGACATATCCAACTAAAAATGCTGTAACATTTTTAAATTATCTCATGGTTGAGCTTGCAAGGCCCCTAAAAGAAGAGGTGATTTAGGGAAGAATCCTCTTGCACAGCCGTGCACAGACATGAACTACATCATTCGTTTCCATGTCTCCCAGAACACATTCACCCAACCCACTGCAGCTGCTCCCTTCATCCCTGAAACATCTTTTAACAGAGAAGTGTTTTGCACCTTCCTGTTAG